GCATATGTCATGATTTCTTTCTTTTTGATTTTCATAAGGTACTGTAATGATTCAACTTACTCTAGCCTGCTATTTACCCAAATTATTTAGAAAGGCGTAATAATCAAAAACATTGCAGCCTGACTGAAGCAAGCACAGTGCTTAACACCTGCAGGTAGAGTGCAGTCTCCAGCAAAATGCTATTGATTGTCATCCTGGTGCAAAGCAAGCCTGGCTACAGTCTGCTTAATTACAACAAAAATTCGTTTCTATGAGTAAGGTATTTCATGTTTGAGGAATGTTTTGTGTGTTGTCTGCTAAGTAAAATCCCATCACACTTGTATAAATTTGTTCAATTATCAGAGCAGCTAAGAGGAGGGGGAAAAAAATCAATTTACCCCGAAAAGCACCAGAAATAAGATTACCTTGGCTAGTAGGAACTTGCCAGCACTGTCTAAATTTCTTAACATTATCAAATGTTGCCATTTTTCATGTTCAATAAGAAGGATATTGACTATCCTACATGTCCAGGTCTGCTATTTGGCTGTTTCTTTATAAGGTATAAGCATGTCTTATTTTTATTCCTACAGTAGCAGTTACAGATAAATCGGAGGATCTAACAATAACTTTATAGAATAAATGGAATAATACTATTCACTGGAGAAATAGTATTTACTTGAGATAAGTGATCACAACTAGTTTTTTCTCCTGTCTAGCTTGTTGTTCTTGTAATAGACAAATGTAAATACCTTAGCAGACATTTCAGAGGGAAAGGCAAGAGATAAAATGTAATTACTTTCCAGGGTGGCCCTGACGATGCCCGTGTTCTTGTCTGTAATACAATAAAAAAAAAAATCTTTGCTCATCACCTCAGAATACGAAGGCCATTGTTACTTCTGAATATAAAAATATTTTCTGATTTTTAATGTTGACCTCAGTATTTATCTTTAGCTCTTCTGTGTAAGCTGGAATCCTTATAGTCGTAAATTCTAGTCACTGTTATCCAACCGAGCATTTAATAGAGCACCTAATGGACTCTGCTCCTGTATTTTTCTTGAATGCATAACATCTTGCTTCATTCAGTCACCAAAACTAACTTTGCTACAAGGACAGGCAACACGACAAGTTAGAATCAATGGACCGTTTGTAGGTCACAAAGTCAGTTTACTGGAATTTCAGAGGAAACTGGTTGAAAAGAGAGGACAAACGTCACTTTGAATAGAGATGTTTAAATCAGACTTCTGCCTTAGGGTAAAATTTAGGTCTGTTGTAGCCTAGATGTAATGTCTCCCTCTACAGAGCACAGCATTAATCATGGCTTGACAAGTGATCATGGGCTGAGAAAAATAGGGCCTGTCTTGGTTGTGTGGTTATTTTTTTTCCTAATCTTAATCTCTTAGGAGCACATTATAAACACTAACATTTGCACAAAAAGATTTAAGTATCAATGTCTGTATTTCAGTAGTGAAAGTAGCTAGCTTCAGAGAAAATCCAGTTAGAGCTAATAAGAAGCTACTTAGGTTTCTTACATAGATGCAATATTAAGAATATTTTCCTTTTAACGTCATGCAGTTTTTTTGTCACAGGAGATTTATTTTAGGCCATTTCTTCATACAAATATGGTAGAGTCTAGGTCTGCCTGTTTTGTCCCTTGGTGTGCTAAATAACTCCGAAATGACTGTCCTTTTGCTTTAACAGTGTTTCACAATGTGTTTACCACCCGAGAAAGATCCTTCCTTTTGACCAAGTGGCAATATAGGGAAAAAGTGGAACAGTTTTTAAAATGTAATGCAGATTGACTTGCCACTGATCAATGTATATGAGATTTTTTGTACTACGTTTATATTTTAATGATGTGTTACTTGGCCACAATGAGCTACAAAAGCTGGAATGAAATAACAGGAATGAAGACTGCTATTTAAGATCCTGAATTCTGATACTGTACAAATAAAAGTGTGTTTAATATGTTAATTCTTAAATTAGGGATGCCTTGATGCATAGATTAGGTGTTGGGAGTGTTCATACCTTTTATGGTAAAGATCAGTAAAGACGGGAATTTTCGTATGTCTTGGGCTTCTTTGCTGCTTTCTGTGGTGGGGAACAGTGCAGGGAGCCGCTGAGCACTCAACGTGCGCCGCTGCTAGGGAGGTGTATCTCCTTCATGTACAGTTAGATTTGTATCTGCAACTGTTGAAAAAAATAGATAATATCAGCAAAGTAGCAGCAAAACAATTCATCACTGGAGAATTGTGCTGTAGAAATTAAGCTACTTCTGTTTATTTAGTTGCCTCTGGACGTGATAAAATCCCAAATCTCTCACTTAGGGTAGGCTGCTGCTTTCCTCTGTGCCCTCTGTTGGTATTTTCCTATCAGTCGACACCTCAAACCGATTATTGCTCAGAATCTGGATGACAGAGTAATCTAACGATGATTACTGTTAAAAAATTGTTTCTGGCAGCTGGGGAGGGGATGACCGACCTTGTTTCTGACTATCATACTTGCTTTGCTGTTGATGGGATCTGGTGTAAATAGAGCACCTTACTCTGAAATTAGTGCCGCCGTGGTGGAGAGAGATCACATGCCAGAAGGAGACTTTAGTTCACCTTTCTATATATTCTCTTACGGTATCATATTTGTCATTTTTTATGGCTACGCCGGTGTGAACAGTGTTCAGAAACAGTGCCCTTGCACTGGGCAGCGTCGCTTCTAAATAAAGTGACATTTTAAGAAAAGGTTCCCGAGAACAAGTTTTGCTGTTGACTCTGCGTTTCTCTGGCAAATTCCCGATTCTGGTGTTGACGGTAGGCAGAATTCTTTTCATCTGATCCAGACATCATTTATTCATTCTAAGCTTAATTTAGAGTTTTTCTACGCGAAATGACCGATTTGGAAAAGTTTGCTTTCCCAGAACGAATAATGATTGCATCTTCAGTTTGAACAAAGTGAGTGTTCTCCAGAAGACCAATTCGTAACTACTTCGTTGGTAAATTTGTCATTTAAATATTGAAGGGCAGTGTCTCCTGCAGCTTTGATTTCCTTCAGTCTAATAGGTATTTCTTAAACGCTGACTGTCAATCAGTGAGGCTGATTCTTGTGTAAATCAGTATAAAATGCTTAAAGGAGAGAAGGTGCCTCCGCAGTTGAGGTGTACTCCAGGCTGAACTGCTGTGCCAGGAAAATGGGCTGAGGCTGGGAGCTGTGTTAGAGAGGGAGGGGAGTTGCAGGCTGACATAATTTGAAGGTGAGAAGAAATCCTTTTGCCCTTCAGGCAACAATCTTACCCGCTGCTTGAATAGAGCATCATCTCTCCAAAATGTTAGATTTTTTTTTTTCCCTCTGCTTTCTTTACTTCCTCATTCTTTCCCTCATTTGAGGAGGTGTATAATAGTATCTGAGCATAACCGGTTGTGGATCCAACTGCTAAAGATATTCCAGCAGCAAAGAAGAGCTCTGTGTGCAGCAGTCTCATCATCTTGAAGTGAACACCCCAAATGTGTCCTACGTTTGTCCCATGTAATGACTGTAGCCATACTAGAATATCATGAGCCTGTTTCCACTTTTTTTTTTTAAAGCTGACATTGGAACTTTGAAAGGTTATATTCTGGAGTTCGTTTTTCCAATGAAAATTAAAGTCACACAGGGCATATATGACTTTATGCCCTATGCATATGCATTTATTTTATGAGTATTCTTCATGAGTCTAATGGCATTACTTGCAGAAGTAAAGAAAGTGGGATTTGGCTCTTTAAGAGAAACAAAACCACAGGCATACTTCCATTCTTGCTGTGTTAGAAGAGAAATTAATGTTGCCTGGTGGCCTCCCAGTTTTTTGAGTGTGTGCTAAAGGTTAGATAGGACGAAGGCTTAATTTTGATCTGCTTAATATTTATAGCTTCGTTCATTGAAGCTTTTTCCCATTTTCATTGAAGGGATTTTTATCTAGAAAGCTCATGCTATTACGGTGAACAAACTTAAGACATTTTAAGGTAAGGGTGATGTCTTTTGGAAGAAAAGCAGTTTACCTCCAATTGGATGAAAACTACATTTGTTACTTCATAATTTGATATAAATTGACAGAGACTTTTTTAATTTTCAAGATAACTTACCATTCAGTTCAATTGCTTTTTAAACTTCGGTGGAGTGCATGTGTAATTGTATCCGAAAGTGGCATTGGGGTTTATCTCCCAGCAGTAAATAGAACGAGGGATGCTGCTGTTTGTTTGTTTATGGGTTAGGGAGATGCATCAGATAGGATGAATTTGTTTTCTTGTTTGGGGTGGTCTTTCATTTCTCTTTGGTTCTGGGTAAGTAGAGCAATTTTTTTTTTCTTCCCCCTTCTCTTTTTTTTTTTTTTTCCTTCCCTGAAAGCATTTAGGTGACTTTGAAAAAGAAATCTGTGTATTTTGATAGAGGAGAGACTAAAGCCGAATGTTTAACTTTTCTGAGGGGACAAGAAGAGACACAGAGCTGGAAAAAAAAAGCATGTTTTCTGTGTTAACTCCTTATGTCAGATAACATTGGAGAAGGATTTCTGGGGGAGTTTCTTTAAAATGATGACTGATTATTTGGGTTCCTATGCCAGCTGTTACCCACATTTTTCACATATTTTTGCTCATTCTTCTTATTACCTGCAGAGGGAGCTTGTATATGAGATAATCAGAGTAATCAAGGCATTCAGGGCTGAATTGTTTCCAGTAAGTACAATTTCATTTCACAGTGCCTTCTCTGTTACGCGGAGCAGAAAGGCTCTGCAAGATAGCTTTTAAAAAGGCTGTCCATCAGTAACAGTAAATAACAGTGGGCAAAAATTTTAAAACATCGTTGAGCAAAAGCTGACGTTAGAAATATTTCATATTTCAGAGAAGTGCCTTTTTATTGAAAGTTTAAAAAGGAACTGAGGAAAACAATTCTTGCATGTCGAGGTGCAAGACGACAGTTTTGGTACTCCGCATGACGGGAAGCAGATTTTTGTTGCATAAACTGTCTTCTCTGATTCTAAAAATGTCATGGCAGCATGAGAGAGGCAACACAGTACTATACAGGTCTTCGGTACATCTCCTGCAGTGTAGTGTGCTAGCCAAAAAGCAGTAGGTAAGTCTTTTCTATTTACGCAAGCAGTGTTATGAATCATAATCAAGGTGATTGCAGATGCAAGGGTAACTCTTCATTTTGCTTTTTCTCTATTATAAAATATGAAAAGGTGAATGAGTTTCATCCAAATACAATTGATGAATTCATACAGTTGGACTAAAGCACGCAAACAGTGGTAAAGATCGCTGTCTTAAGCTTTAGAAAAATACAACAAAGAGCAAGGAATATCATAACCTAAGTTTATTTGTAAATTGTAACTTAAAAACTAGCTCGAAGAATAAGAAGTACTTATTTAAATTGTGATTTTCCTTAATCTAGCACAATGAAAGAAATGATCTGGTGTATTGCAGGTTTTATAATTGGTATTATAGTTATCTGGATGGTGAAAGTGTATGATCCTTCAAAAAGTTAAGACTTCAGAGAAGAAAATGATCAGCAAGCAAAACCGTACGGTACTTAGATGAATTCTGCACTACTTATCTCTGGGAAAATGGCAGTCATTTTACTTTAAAATATTTCAGTAAATTTAAAGATGATTTGCTATGATGCTGTTAGGAAATAAAGCGGTATGCATGCACATTCCATAAAACAGAAACAGCTCTCCGTAACATGCTCTCCTGTAATAAATCTGCCACATAAATTGGTTCGAGAGTTGGGTTTTTTTTGTTAGTTTAAACTAACAGAACTTTAAACTTAACATATGTTCAGCCTAACGTCTCAGGGTTTTAGTTTGGACTCTCTTTTTAAACATCAGGAAAGATTTACCGTCTCTAAAAGAGCAGCAACTTGGTGTCGATTTATTATTTATACTGGCTAATCCTTGCTAATGTGAAAAGTCAGCTTGTTATTGTAACACCAAATGGCCCTCTAAGTAGGGAAACAGTTAAGTAGATCTCCTGTAATAGGTTGTTGTCTAATAAAGAGATTTATGGTATTGGCAAGGGCTATTGTATAGGTATTACCCTCTCACAGCATGATCATGTATTATCTTAACAACTCGGTGCCACATTTATGTTGAGCATTTTCATAACAGGGTAAGAATATTAGCCACAGCAATTACACTCCAATAGGATTATAATGGTAAGATTTACAGAAAATATATAAATGATGTATTTCGTAGAGATTTTGATAGGTGCTGGGAGTTGAAAAGTTGCATCATCCTTTTTGCATGGGAAAATACTAATGTATTAGTCATGATGAAGAAAGAGAGGTTTCTTAATTTAATCTTGTTGAGGAATTACGGGGAGGCAATGGAAATAATCTTTCTTTACACAGTGTGTCTTTCCCGGTGAGGTAAGGATGTTTCAGAAATTCCATTCAGTGGAGATTGCCGTACAATATGAAAATCAAGACGTTCATGTAACTTTAATTCTGTTGTGAGGATAATACAGCTGGGATTAAGATACATTTTTTAACACCCTTGTATTTTGAAGGTAGAACAATGGTAATTTACTTGCTACACTGGAAGAGCTTACTTGAACAAAATCATGTTACTTTGTTTTAGCTGTAGCGTAACACACATTTTCTGTTTCATTAGCACCAGGTTTTTATGGTGATAAGTAACTTAGATACTTTTTAAAATTACTATAAGCAACAAAAGTGACAATAATGTCATACTTGTACAGTTTTCATGTAAGTGACATTCAAGCTGTTCCTTAATTCTTAAAATTTTCCATCTGTTTTTTTTAAAAACAAAAAAAGTCAGACATTAATACTCACTCACTTGGCAGAAGCAACGTACCAGTCACATTTAATAAAACTAATTATGTTTTATCAATAAAAAACACTTACGGGGATGGATTGAACAAAATACATTAGGTTATCTAGTCATTTATGAGTAACTGCATTGAGTAGAACAGCAGTCTGAATGGCAAAGTGTGATGAAATAGCCACACATTTTAAGATGGTACCTTGAGGTATAATTCAATAAATACTGGAATAATGAGTGTTTAAACAAACAAAATACCTTTCTTCCCCTGATTTACTGTAACAAAATGATAATTAGGTCATTCTAAATTAAGAAAATATATAGATGGCAATTCTTATTGTAGAACTTTCCAATATATGTTCCATGCATTATACACATGCATGGATAGTATTAGTTACATTTGTAAGACACGACATTTCCTGGATGTTTTGGATTAACTCTGTGTGTAAGACTTTATGTAGAAAGATCATGTATCCCATCTGTTTAAAATTGTTATTGATTACCAAAAGCCAGAGGAAAGATGCACCTGTTTCTTTTGACACGAAATATTCCACTTCTGAAAATGTGCTGATAGAAGGTAACGTTGCACACAGGTTTAAATGTTTTCTGGTGGATTACTGGAAAATAACTGGGGCCTCAAAACTGCATTAAACAATGAATATTCAAAACTTCATTATTTTTGTAATCATGGTAGCAATGTATGACTTCATCTGTCATTAGTAACTCATACATCTTGTGTTTACGGAACTAGAGCAAAATTCTGGAGCTTTGTCTTTAGCCTTGTGTTCGGAACAAGAATTACGACCCGCAGAATAACATTTTCTATTTTAGAAAAACTCCTGTAGGTTCTTAGATTGGCTTCGCATTTCATTCATTTTGAACTGTGGAAAACGATTGTATCTTTTGTCTGTAAGTAAAAAGAGAACACAAAAGGACGAATGTTACCCCCTGATGAATGTGGAGCTCCAACCGATTTAAGTGCGTGAACTGTGACTGCATTGTTGAGGGCAGTGCTTGGCTTGTATACCCTGTATAAGAAGCTGCCAGTACTTAGAATAAAAGGGCGAATAATGCATAAAAATTCAATACGAGGTAAAGCATTTTTACCAATGCTTTAAATGTTACAATTATTTATAATTTATTTAAAAAGTACTAAAAATAGGTAACAGTGGATTGGTTTTACACGTATTTATCATTAAAAAAGTTTTCTAATCTTTTAGAAGACAATTTCTGTGTTTGAAAGAGGAAAATATATGCAGAAATATTCTTAGCAAATTGTTGTCCTTATGTGCTCTCCTGAAACGTTTTTGGAATATGTATATATAACTGTAAGATAAAGATTAACCATTTTTCTTTTTGTACAAATCCCGTAATGAATGGCTTCTTAAAATCAGTGTTATTCTGTTTGCAAGACAATAAATCAAAGCACAAATCCACATTGTAGTCATTTTACTTGTAGTGTGAATTAAAAATGAAGTCACACTAAGTCATACTTAACTGTCCACAGACAACTAACCCTGAAGAAGGGATAAGTCTGTCTTTTTTTTTTCCCCCCATCTATTTTATTATTATTTATATCTCTCTGTCTGTTTGGATCACCAGTGTTGTTATGACTAATAAAGCTTTTGTATTTGGCAAATGGGACGCAAGTAATCAGCAAGTTCTTGGCTCACGACTGGAAAATCTGCCAAACACAGCACATAAAAACAGTATAACCTTTGAAGTATACCTGTGAATGAAATTCTTCCTTATACTTCCGTCACCTGTACGGAATTCGTGTATCTTTACATCTTCACTTCTAATGATATTATTTCTGATTACAGTGAAACCCACAGCAGTGTTTGGAGAGTGACATGATTAGAAAGTACTGTTTTCAGCCTGCTTCTGAACATATAGCCCCTTTGATTTTTTTTTTGTTAGAGATAATAATATAGTGACTTACAGTGAAATCAGCATCTTTCTATTACCTATCTAATTAATGGCCGATTTAAAAGTTTGGTTTATTTTAATTATATTTAGTTTAATTTTTTGTCCAGCTTTGACTGATCTTTGCATGTGATAGATTGCTAAGATTCTGTAAACAATACATTTCTTAGTTCTTGTGTATTTTTCACAGAAAATCACTCGATATGAAACAATTATTTAAAACAATTCTTTTTGTTCAATGTAGTTTTATATATTAAAAAAAAAGCTACCGAAGTCCTGTATGTTAATTGAAGGAAAGTCAAATAAATGTAAATTTTATAGTAGGTCTGCAGGAAGATAGCCAGTAAATTATTTCTTTTTATATTTTAAATAGATACATAATAACCAATATGCCAAATAAAGCTGCAGCATTAACAGATTATTAAAACTAATTGGTAAGGATTTATGAAAAATGCATGGGGCAGTAGGAAAATTTGTTGCTGTTTCAGTGCTATGGTTAAGCGGTTTGCACAACTCTGTTCACTACTTCGGCACAGTTGAGAGATATGATTAATATCTCTTCAAGCACTTAATTACAGCCATTATTTAAGTTACCTAAAAGAACAACAGGTCTTGTACATATAGGAAATATTAGCTTTGCTAAACCAACTGAGCAAATATGCTTGGTGGAATTTTATTATGGCTCACAAATGGTATAAAGAGGTAGCTCCCGGTATTGTGCTCTAAAATTCACTCAAGTCCATCTGACCATTGAACAAGTGGTGTTTTTACTGCAGTGTTAGTGAAAAACTGTGAATGCCAATGTGTACAAGATGTTTCCATCCAAAAACAACAACAACAAAAAAATGGGGAGCGCCTTTTTTACTGTAGGCTTGTGATCTGGAGCTCTGGTGAGATGGTCTGATCTGTAACTGTCGCCATCCTGCATGCAGCGGTGGTCTCCGTCACGGCTGCGACTCGGGTCTGCGAAAGTAGGAGTCCTTCTGTGCTGCAAATCCAAATTTGTGGGTAGATTCTTCCAGTTGCTTCACAATAAAACAAAGGTGTAATTAGGGCTAATTTTGCTAATCATCATGAACTGGAGGTAGTCCCATCTGCCCTTCCCCCTCAAAAACTGCGTGTGATACCAAAAAAGTGTGATCGTTGTGAGATCAAAGAGGGGAGCGTTGTGTGCGCTGTCTGCAGATGAAGATCCTTGGAAACCAGGTTTGTCCTTTTTCTGTTATTCACAGTCAAAAAGTCAAAATCTCCATTTTAATGAAGACATTTCAAAGAACAGACGAGTTGAGAAAGTTACTGTATTTCTTTACATGCTCCTTCCTTTTAAACGTGGAAGAACCCTTAGGCTATAAATTAAAGAGTATTT